TTTCTCCCCAGAACACACCCATTCAGTGTTACAATTTTTCAAAAACTTCATTTTCTGTTTGTTATGAACAAAGACAAGTACTTCAAATGTTATGGCTTTTCTTTAATCTTAAGACAGTGACAAAAAATAGGTGCAGTGAAATTCTCCTTCTACCCCATTATTCTTTCATGACATTTTATTGTAGTTTGCTATTACTAGAATAACAACTGACACACACTGAAGTACTTAAATAACTCCAGACCACCTTGTTTCAACAAAAATAAATGTTGCATTTGTTCCAGTAAATAGGAACATACATTCACCCTAGGATGGCTCTCATCTAAGCAAAACTGGATTTAGAAGATTCTGAAATACCATTTTTTGAATGGGCAAAAAACATAGCACCTAATAACCCAAAACTCATCCACAGAGACTTCTCATTAAACCCAGGAAGTTCACAGTATTCCTGCTCAACTATTATCTAATATAGGTAACAAACACTTGACTCCGAACAGCACTGATGATTCTATGAGTAATTTAGATACTAAATTGATATAAAATATATAACCTATTAATTACTAGAAAGTCAATTATCACAACAAAAATTATTAGAAATGAGATTAGAAGAACTAAATAAGATACAAGGAGAGTAGAAATAAATATTTAAAACTGAAGAGGAAGAAAGAATTAAGTAACTGGAAAGTGAACATGCCTGGATGGAAAGAGAAAAAGCAGAGATATTAAAGAGACAGTAAAGGAGAAGGTGGTTAATTTTAGAATAAAAATCATTAATAGTTTAAAATTTTCCTCCCACTGGGTACAAATAATAAATAAATGGTATTCTTGAAAATATACACACAGAGAATATCCTCTGCCATGAGGATGACTCACACAAACATTAATGTGGCTTGTAAAACTATCCAAACACCCCTGTCAGATGCAAGCTCCAGCATGTTGGGCTGTATATGAGGAACAGAGCCAGCAGATGGAGTGATTATTCTCTTTTACTCAACACTCATTAGACTGTGTCTGGAGTACTGCATCCGTGCAGGGAAAGACAATAAACTGGAGTGAGTGCAGTGGAGGCAGCCAAAATGATAATGAGGATGGATCACGTAGTGTGAGGAGAGGTGAAGGGACAGGGCTTCTTCAGCCTGATGAAGGGAAGGCTTCAGGGGACCTCATGCAGTGTTGACCCTGCTTTAAGCAGGGGACTGGACAAGACACCCTGTAACATCCCTTCCCACTGCAATAATTCTGTAAAGTTCTAAGATTTCAGTCCCATCACATATAAATATATATACAGATCCACACACATATATATATATATTTATTGCATGAACTATGAAGGGAAGAAATACAGCCACACAAAGGAACTCAGTGGTATTTCACAAATGGCTGTTGTCACAAACAACTTTTGCTTACTTACATGTAGTTGTTTATTTCCTCTGTGTGGCTGGACGTAGCACACAGAGCAGATTGACACAGAGATACAAAAGGCAGTTTTAAAAGTTGTACTTCATAAACATTATTGTATATGTTATTTTTCAGATTTAAACCCCAGGTAATTACGACAGCATCTGATCACTTTGCATAAGCACACAACTAGAGCAGCAAGCTCTCTCCCTTCACCTGGAAGTAGTTTGGCATTTTTTTTCTTGTTGGTTGGTTGCATTGGCAGGTCTAACTTTGATGCTAAATTCTTTCTGCCATAAAGTGGAAGAAAGTGGAAACTCAAACATGTCCTGTGTGTTACACTCTTGTCAAGAAGCTCACCAATAAAAGCAATTAACACACCAGTCACAACATAATCTGGGTTTACTTATCAAATTAATATTTCTGGTTGACAAAAACATGCTTTCTCTCTTTCTTGTAAAAATTTTATCTACAAGTTTGTGTATAATTTGAGTCAAAACCCATTTGCATTGTGCTGTTCGCAGAATCAGACAAAAGCAGAGAATCAAGTAGTGTTCAATGATCAGTGTTTTCATTAACTGCTTGACCTTCGTTCCTGAATTTTGTAGTTTCAAAACTTTTCTGCTATTGTAGCTAAATGCTGATCTTTATTTTTAAATCAACTCACGACATAGCTTTCCATACTGATCTATTTCCAGATTTTCTGTTAATGACTCAGCTAGGGTCATGATAGCTTTCAAATGATTGATTTGGGCTCAGACATTTTTCCAGAACCAGGCTTGAACACAAGGTGCCTACGTCAGTCAGGGTTGCTATGAGGAAATTCTCTGCCCTTTTGTATTGCTGCCCTTTAATATGAAAAAGCTTAAAAAATGTTTGCTGCAGCTGCTTAAAATGGCCTGCTGTCATTGTTTTTTCAAATGGAATTTGAAAAATAGATTATCATGACAGATAGGCATAAGCTCCTTACCTTTTTTCTTAAGGAACACATATTACTTGAAGCAATTTACAAAGATTAGCCATTTCTCAGAACTCAGCTTTTTACCTTTTTCCCTATTTGGTCTCTATACTGTACATGGCAATGCTAAATTCGTGTGCAATATAGATTATACAAGCACAACTCATTAATCTGCATTGATCCTCAGTTTTCTTCTCTATAATTTGGCTCATTTTATTTGTCATTAGGGAATTTTACAAAATTTGTCAATAAACTTCCTTAATATTTTGGGGGGCTTTTTTATTGAAAACTCTACCATAGCATTTACTCAGTATTTAACTTGCCTAAAAATATTTAAATCTAGAACATCCTATAGATTTTTAGTTGTTACAATAGGCAAGAAAAGCAAATCAATCCATCTGGAAAAACTCACCACTGCTGATTTAACATTGATACATAAGAAAACATGGGAGATCTTTAGCCACTTCATGAAGTTTATTGAGTTTTAAGAGCAAAAAATAATGTTATGTTAAAGGAGTTCCAGAAAACGATTGAAAAAATTTATCAGTATGAGCTCCAAAAGGTTCTTTGTTGTACATAGTCATGCTTTGTAGTTGTTTAGTAAAGTCACAAAGCTTCTCTTTCCCCTAACCTTAAAGGAAAATATTATCAACTATTATTTACAAAATTAATCTGGGAAAGGTTTGCAGCTGTGCATGTAGGAGGTTTTGGAGCATCTTCCTCATCTTGGCTGCAGTTATAAACTTAGATCAACTTTTCCTAAAGCTTTAGAATTGTATGGCTTACTCCACAGAACCACCCAAATTGCTGCTGAATCTTTCATCAGAGTATCTAACACTTACAAGACATAGTTTAAGTCCTTGCATTGATTTGATTTATCTTTTGGAAATGTATCAAATACAATTCATATTTTCTCTGCTGTTGGACATGTCTATACTTTCTGCAGTACCAGTCAGGGGAGATGTAGGATCTCCATCAGATGGACAAAAGAGATATTTGTCAAACTCTGCAAATCATCATCAGCAACAAAGCAATAAGGGACTTACAAGAGTATTGCACATGTAGTAAAAGTCAGTAAAGTGCAGAAGTCATGAAAGAAAAGGCTATGAACCTTGTGATTTAAAATGTTTGTTTTAACCTTAAGGGGGAGCATGCTGCCTAAGTCCAAGGCAATAAGTAGCACTAGTCCTAGTTGGGACCATCCCAAAACACTGACAGGGAAAAAAATATATTTTTCTGGTTTCATAGGATCTTTCCTGACTCCTGTTGCCCAAATGAGGGAAGGGAAGAGTTCCTCCACCTAGCTGATGCCATCTCAGCATCTTATTTTCTCTTCTGAGCCAGGGACTAGTTGAACACAAAGGAGGGCAGTGAACGTGTGAGGAATGACACATACTTACCTCCCTTTGGCTTTCTTGTGAGTTGAGGAGACTCAGACCCCTACAGTCAGCATCAGGCCATCACAGTCATCTAGATAAACAGCAGTATCTGCTGTGGCACAGAAGAGCTATTTACCCACGAAGCTAGAAAGTGCTTTTGCATAGTTTTGAGGCCCAAGCCATGACCTCTACATTGCTATGAGATGGGAAATATGCCTAGAATCACATCCCTCCCCAGTAAGTCATTCTGACAATCACGACTGACTCAGTTGCTTTCACAGTCCAAGGAATCGAAAACCACTCTAGTGTAAAAGGTTGCTCTTCTCAGAGATGTGACATTAAGGCTGGAGTGTAACTTTCCATTTGAAGAATTCTTCAAATCTATCTCTATTTCTTGAAGTATAAATTCACTCCTGAATCTCTGTTCTTTGATTATTTTAGCCAGACACAAAGGTGTTTTTCCAGCTGCATAATTGTTGAATACCTGTTTCACTTTTAAAATATTGCTTATTCTTTTATAAAGCACCATTTGCTAAATTTAGCTGATAAATTGCAAGTTTTAATACTAGAAGTACATTAAATTGATTTCCTAGAATGAATTTTTAATTTGGACAGCCTCTTTAGGGAAATTATTTGGTTCTGAATGGAGGAGAAAGCATTCATAAAATAACCTCCTTGCTTGGGTTACAGTATTTTTATGAATGCCTGAGAGGTGGGAAGCACACAACTTCAGGTTTCAAGAGATTTGTACTGTCATGATAATCTAGATAAATGGAGTGATGTTTAGAAGATGCCAGAGAGTGTATTAGGAGTTACCAGGTATGTCTGAACACATTCCTTCCTTGAAGTGTGGGAGAAGTTAGATTTTTCTTCTTTAAAAATTACTTTCAAAAATTCATTGGAGAAAGCACAACCTTATTCTGTGTTTGCATTGTACAACTGCTTGAACAATGAAGGTTTGATCTTTCATGGAGATCAATAGATGTCAGTGCAACAGATGTGTAAATAGAAACATAAGGACTGCTTTTTATTTTTTTAATTCTGCATTAATTATGTGCTCCTTTAACTTTCAAATAGTAGAAAGCATTTCTTCATCAGCTTTAAAAATAACAAAAATACCACTTTATTATCAAAAAACACAAATGAAAGCAACATGCATTAAAGATTTTTTATAAACAGCTTCTAACTGTGATCTGATGGCACATTCTTCCTGAAGGCAGACAAAACAACTATCTCAGATATTGTCTCTGCTTGTTTCTTCTGGACAGGATCTCTGTTTTCATCTCTGAAGCCCCCTGAAACGATCTTCAAGGTGATTTTTTGGCTTGGCTACTTTAACAGCTGCTTGAACCCAATCATCTATCCTTGCTCAAGCAAAGAGTTCAAGAGGGCTTTCATACAGATCCTAAAATGCCAGTGCCACCGTCGAAAGCAGTTGGGGTGGTGGGCCTACAGCTACAGAAACTGGAATCGGTGCTCCTTTGAACACCCTAGGAAAGACTCTCTGGAAGACAGCGGGAGCTTCCTAAGTGGCAGTCAGAGGACACTATCTTCAGCATCTCCCAGCCCTGGCTACCTGAGCAAAATCACTCATCCACATATGGAGATGTGCACATTCCAGGAATGGAAAAACTCCAGCTCTTTTCTGAGCCCCTTACAGGAAAGCAGCAGACAAAAGGATCCATGCCAGTTCTTTACCTTCAATCTATTAACAGAACGCAATGGACACGTTCCTGCTGGCAGCCAGGCTTCCGGCAGTGGGGACCATGAGGCCATCTGTGACACACTGAATGGCAAAACAGACTGTGGAGCAAACATAGCGCTGGAATGAACAGATTCTCAAGGGCCTGTTCTCTTTGTACACTACCCCGTTTGATGTTTAGCCCAGGTGAAGAGTGGACCTTTGCAGAGTTTCTCAGTACTAACACTAGAAGGAAGCCATTGAGAGACAGACAGATTTATGTCACAAGAGCAGGAAAGTGTAACCGTATTCCCAGGCAATTGCCAGAGAGGCTACTGAAGCAAAAGCAGAATGCAGGGAAGGTGTCATATAAACCCAGGGAAGTGCACATCCAATTATTTAGGTGTCGTGGAAGTGCTGTGGAACAGCCAAACATATCTGTATATAGAAAGAATGTATAAATATGGGGGTGGGCAGGGGAAATGTATATGAATGTGTGTACATGTGTGTTAGCCGCATGTATGGGTGCCTGAGAGTGGAAGTTGAGCATTGCAGTGCCCTTTGTACCCCCGTCCCTCCCCCGGGGTACCAGCTGCTGCTGATTTTGCCTGTAAATTCTGATTGTTGTTGTACTTCACTGTACATTAGCACTTTAGAAATTGAAAACTCTGTCAAAGATTAAAGTAATTTCACAACAATTTAAACACTTGCACCTCTTACTGTAGGACTGGAATTTAGCCAAGTTCCCTTATCACGCTTTTCACTTCAAAATAAAACACTCATAGCAGTTAAGTTTGCTATTGTAGCTCCTATGATGCTCTGGAATCTCTCTGCAGTTGCTTACCTTTCATGATTCCCTTATCACAAACATACATAACTCTCCTATCCTTTACCATGTTCTTGTTTGAAAGTTTGAAGATACCAGAAATGTTCAGAGCCCCTAGTCTCCATTTTAGCACATTAGTAAGTGTCATGTAAACATACAGGATGTCAGAGGATCTGATTTCTAAAAGTAACACTCATAAATTACTCCAATTACCTCATAAATAGTGTTGTGGACACAGCACAAAAGGGCACTGACTGCTGGCAGCCCAAAACCCAGCCTTAGGACACATACACTGAACCTTCAGTTCTTTTAGCACAATTGGAGAATAGAATTGCACATTTAGAGGTTTTTATTTTGCCACTCAGATACTAAGAAAAAGAGTCAAAACAATGGAGTACTGTACGTTTCACTCTCATTAATATTTTTCAGCTCAATAATATGGTACTGTAACAGAATTCCTGAGAATATCTTTGAGGACATTCTAGGTCATGTTTGGAAGCTATTTTCATCTCTTGCAATGAAGTGTAAGTCATTAAATTAGCGACTGACTTTTTTACATTGAATTGTACAAACCATGAAAATTGGAATTTACTCCTTCCTCCAACTGAGACTTTCCTTATTAGGGATTTTAGTGACTTTTATTTTAAGCATGAAACAGAGAATAAGCCATAAACAGATGTACTGAAAACACTCAGGGGCAATTTAACAATGCCAGGTCCCAAGGGAGAACTATTTGTTTTTGTTTCCTTAAATGTATATTCTCTCATTAAGTTGACAGGGATGTATATGGCTTGTGGTTAGACAAAATATTCCCCAGCTCACTGAGCAACTATAGGGAAGTCATGTTCCAAGGTCTTCCCATGGTTCTATGTTATAGTAAGAACTATGTAAGTATATTTTAAGTCTTACCCTGATTAAAGTCATGGCCTATCTCCTATTTTAATAATTCTATTTTGATTGCAGGGAAGACCATAATCTCCACTAAAAGGACAATGTTTATAAATTTTAAAGTATTACAAAACAAAAGAACAAACTCTTGTTGCTCATATATTGAGGTTGCCATAAAGAATATTCCACCTAGCTGTGATAAACAGAACAGAGCTATCTTCACTGGGCCTCTAAATGCCAGTGTTATAATTTTTGAAGGGAACCCACAGTAGTCTGTCAAACATTTTTGGATTTTGTAAAGTTTCTTTAAAATTACTGTTAATTGGAAATAAATTTGTTTAAACTAACCGGCTGACACCACACTTCAGCTAAGTTTTGAGACATGCATGACTTGTATAGTGTAAACTAAGTCCAGATAAGGTTATCCGTATATGAGAATTTCTAAGTGATACTGTGAGGTTTCAGAATAAATAGCATTTTATTACTCTAAAGACTTTAACTATGTAGCTCTCAGAGACTGATCATTCTCTTAATTAGTTTCTAGTCCTAACAAAGGCTGCGTGATCTCCGATTATCATTTAAGCTCCTTAAACAGTGACATAATTCTCTAATTACCTACAAAATCAGACAGGTTTTTTTCCCATACTGAAGTGATCTATGAGTACTTATCATCTTTGTACTTTTCTACATGTAATTCTACAAAAACTGCAAGGAAAGCTCCCTTACTGCTTTTTAAAAAATCTATAAAAAGACCAATTCAGCCATATTAGTACTGAAAAAATAGCTTTGTCTAAACACTAATTGATCAGGAGTAGAAGATATGGATTAGCATCATGCAAGTCCATACAATTTAGTCCACACAGAGACAGCAACTCATCCACTTCTGCTAGCGTGATTTCTCTCACAGCCAACCACAGCACTGCTGCTTTTCCCACGTCCTACCAAGTGTGGGAAGAACATTTGAACAGCATGTTAAATCTATATGGCTCAAGAACCACAGGATTTCTACCCTGCAGTCCTTCCCTTCCTCAAACCCAAATCCTGCAAGTACATTAAGGGCAGCCTCCCTGGGGACATGACTAGGCTATGCTGCCTTGCCAAGAAAACAGGAAACTAAGAGAAGCTCTGCTTCAGGATTTCTGATACTAGGGAAAACAAAATTGGGAAAAATGTTTATTCACCATGTTGAAGTTGAAAACCAAGAAGTTGTAAACAATCATGGGCTATGAGAACAAATATATTCTGTCATTTCTAAGACAGATTTTTATGTCAGGCCCATTTTTCTTAGAATATTCAGTAAGCCACTTCCTAAGGGGTCATCTCCTACAGCCTCTGGCATCAGACAGATGAAGAATGGCAAACAGTAAGCTCTAGCAAGCAAATAGTGATAACAGAAAGAAGTGAGAACAAATTCAGGTCATATCTGATGTAATTTTCAGCTCTAATTTTAACAAACTGTGTCTCATTCTTAATCACTATCCAATTAAATTTTAAGACTGAGGAGCCTACAAAATGTAGCTGCAACAAATATAAGATGGAAGTATTCTTAATATTTCTCCAATAAACATTTCCCTTTTCCTAGTTTTTCTCTGAGTCATGCCAGGCTCTCCATAGCCATGTATATTACATGACCTCCCAAAAAGAAAGAGATGACTGCTCTTCTGTTAAGCTCTTCATTTTTCATTTCATGAATTCCCATTTTTGCAGTGTCCCATACAGCCTGTTCTTACACTCATCAACACTGTACCAATGGATCCTATCCATGCAAATACACTAAACTACACAAGATTTCAAGAGTCATGTCACACGCTTATAAGCTGGCAAAAATGCAAAAACAACACAAAAAACCCAAATCAACAAATAAACCCCAAAGAAAAATGCAAATAAAAACCCCAAACAAAATAAAACCAAAAAACAAGCATGGATCTGAAGCAGGGACCACAAAGATTACAGTGGAGAAAGTCTGATATGTTGCCTTTAAGTATGAAACCCTTGCAAGGTTATCTGACTTCTGTAGAAGAAACCTTTTCTAAATGTCTTTATTTTTACCACTGGAATCTTCTATGACCTCTACCAGGCAAAGCAAACCCAAATGAGGCCCTAAAAATCACTCCCATCCCTTTGTTAGTCCTTCATTTGTTGCAATGTTTCCTTTAAAGGAAAAAATATTTGGGTCAAGGCCTCATCATCAAACCTTGTGGGACAAGCCCATATTAGCCCATTTTTTTAGTAGAGCCAACATTAATTTGACAAGCAGAACATCCACAATCTAGTGAAATGGCAACTGGCACATGATGGTGGTCTATCAGATGCAACCATTACGCCTATTTTTAATGCATATTAACAGACCTTCTGATTAATCCATTTTAGGGGCAAATAGACTTGCATCCAAATAGGAGTTACTGCCATTTAGCACAGAAGGTGTTCTTAAAACACCGTGAATTTCTCCAGGTTAAGCTACTTCTTGGAGCTTAATCACTAACTATGGGCTTGTACAAAGACATTCAGTCGAGAAGCACAGCTGTAATGGCTCACAGAGTATTGTTACAGCTCAGCTGCACATAAATTAAACCTATTAGGCTTCAATACACTCAGCTATCACAAGTGCTTCTTATTTTTGAAAAGAGTTATGGTAAAATCAATCCAACTGAATGAGACTGAAACTCTGCAGCATTCTACATTCTTTACTCCTTGGAAATACAGTTTTCTATTATCTTTCCAAATGTGACAGAGAGAGAAGAGGGGACATTAATTTTATAAAGTGCAGTTCCAGTTTGGAAAATGTAAAAATAGCAACTTTTGTTCAACAGATGTGCTCTCTGCTCTCAGTTTCTATGCTTGACTTTCACCTGATACAAATGAGCATAAAACTGTACAGCAGAGGAGATGACAATTTGCAGCAGCCACGGTAAGAAAACACTGGTATACTAACAACTGCTTATTCCTGTCGGTGGCCACAAACTAACCAGCTCATTCCCAAGAGAATAAACTGGATTTTGTTTTGATACACTCAACACTCATGCTTACCTTTTTTCCAAACCATGCTGGCAGAGTTATGGCTCATTTCATAGGGCAGAACATGGTATCACAGGGATGTTGCATCAAACAAAGAAACAGCACTCCTGAAGTGGTTCTGAAAGAAATATTTCAGAATATGAAGACATGTCAAGCTAGTTTAAGTCACTTTAATTGAACAAAAAAATGTTTCCACCCACTATGACTTTTTTGGGACTTCAAGTGGTACTAGTTACCTTCCTTGTGAAGCATATTATTTGTGCAAGAGGCAAGCCATGATTCTCAAAATCAGTAAAAACCTCTGAAGTGGTGGTCAGGACACTAACCTAGAAAAATTCCAGCCTCTGTCTTAATTACTATTTTTATGTTTCACCTCCAAGCTGTGTAATAATCTGCACAGACAGTGTAAGGAACACAGAAC